AATCGCTTCATATCCGATTCAAACTCCGAACAGACATGATTAACGTCTTGTAGCTGCTCTGAATACTTCTCCATGCTTGATTTGTGTTTTTCAATAAATTCATTTACTCGTTCTTCAATTTTCTGGTTTGCAGACGCCACACATTTTAGCTCATCACTGAACTGTGCAGCTAACTGAAATAGAAGCAATGTTTGTGAGAGTCTTACAGCAGATGGTAGCGTAACAGTTTATATACAGTGAACAGAGTTAATGTGAAAGGATGGTCTAAGGATAGCCCTGATAGAATTGGTATACTGACTAGAAAAGGAAATGACTATTGAACTGGTACGCCTTAAACAATTTCGTGATAAGCGCGGCAAGACTGAAGGTGAAGCTATGCCACATTCAACCTAATCGTAATGCAAAATTTCTGACCTCAGTCATTTTCTTTTCGACATCCATCCTGTACTTCCTCTCTGTCGTGAGCTCTGTTTCATACCGATCTGCTAATGATTTTGCTGCCCTTAACTTTTCTCGTGTTTTCCTTTCGTTTTCCTAAAAACGTAATGAACAAGTGTATGAAAAGAAACTCAAACGAAAAAAGCCATATTCGTACCTTTCAACCGAGGCTAAACTGCTAATTATAAAGAAAATAGTGAATGACTAACTTTTCTCATAAACATAATCACTTAAACACTTCGATGTAAAAAAGACTCCCCCTCAATCCACGTACAGGACTCAGGACTAGAACTTTAAACGTCGTCATTACCTGAATCGATGTTAGGTTGATTTCATAGTTTTGGCACATCTCGCATGTAAGAGCAGGACTAGGAGAGATCTCAGCTGAACGAGTTCCAGAGCCTCCGTTCTGAATATTAGTATAGTCAGACAACGGGGAGTTATAACATTCTTCACGAACTGAGTTTGCGACTGAAAAACCTGTTCTTCTGCATCTTCAAGAGCAGTGCCATCTGGCTCGAAATTTGAAGTCCCTTCTTCCATTCCTTCAGCTGAAGAGTAGCAAAGCAATTACATGAAGACTACTGCAGAATTCAATACGAAAAATCCGAGAGAATTCATAGAATCGCATGAAGGCTTTTCCCGATAAAGAATCTTCAGTGATCATATGCAGAATGTGAGATCTATTATGAGACCGATTTGAAAAATGGTCCGAACAGGTTTGCGACGTATCAAACAAAATAACTGAAGCGTAGCATGTTTACGAAACCACGAAAATTGGAGCGATTAGCATGACTTTCATAGGACTTTAACATCAGCCTGTAAATAGATTAGGTGCTTTCAAAAACCTTTATCGATCTGAAAGCTGAAAGCTGAATAGATCCTAGGGAACTCTTCACCATTTAGAAAAAAAAATTTTGCTCAAAGCTGTATGATTTGTGCACTGAAAGTTGGCAGTGGATGCTGAGAAGTTAGACCTTACTTTATGTGGCGTACTTTAGCGGTTTAGCTCAAGCTTTTACGCGGTTACACGTGGAATGATGGAACTGAAGAACCCGCTTTTGCGTAGCTTACATCCGACTGCATCCTAGGAGCCACTCTTTTTTGCCACCTTCAATAGAAACGGATTGGCCATGGGTTGGACGTTCAACCAAGCTCCACTTGTTGG